GTGCAGAATCTCAGGAAGAGAAAGTGTGGTTTCATACTTGTCCTAGTAGGGGCGTCGACTGTTATAACAGAAATTTGAAAGACAACAAAGGGTGCACAGTCTACATTAGAGAAGCCGACTATATTCAGACCATCAATAACATGCTGGAAACGCCCATGCATGTACTTGATTCTAAGTACTACTATGCAGAGAATGTGGTGGACCCCCTAAACTATCTCAAAATTAACCCCGTTTCGAACAAGAGCCGGAGAAACAAAAGTCAGAGCGGCAACACCATTTTCCAAGAGCCTCTCCACACCCACGTGACAGGGTGCTTTGGCCCAAGTATTGAAAATATCAAAAAGTTGCAGAGCGACATCTGTTGCAGGTATTACGAGTCGGCCAAGTTTGCTTTGTGACGGAATGGCAGATGTCGCTCTGGTGGTCTCTCCGCTTGGATGTGTGTCCCCGCATGTGTAGACATACTACTTGCGTATTTACTCGTTCGCCGCAGGCGTAGGAGCGTAGCGGGGGGATAAGGGTCAATGTCAGGTCAACGCGCAGTTACCCACACTACTGTTCTTGTGTAGCCCCTTAGCTCGGTCTGCACACCGCAGAAACAGGAGGGCTCAAACATTGTGCAGTCAGAAGGGCCACTTTAGGTGAGCATTAACAAGTACAGCGCTATTATCACAAAACTGATTCGGAGTAAACATTTTGTTGGTTATTAAGCTTGATGAGGGGTCGTCCCATGCGCGAAAAGGAATATTCTGTACGACGCGCCTTTTCTGTTCCCCGTTTTGAAGTTCAATTGCTCCTACCACAGCAGCATTGCCTCATAGATTTCCGCACCCACACGTTGAGACTTTACATGACCAGAATGAGGCTTTCTTGTATAAAAGGGACTCCGCGTAATTCTGCATTTTATTTTATTTTTATGACTCTTCATCTGCCCCGTGGCGGCAACTGACAAACGTGGATGCCCGGTGGGAAGCACAGAATTGTTTCCCAAAAGTGTGTATGTATGTAAGTACATATGTATGTATTTTTTTTTTTTTTTTTGGGGGTCCCTTTTTCTCAGCGCGCAAAGTGCTTTATCTCTATTTCCCCCGTATTTCCCCCCTTTTCTGCTGTACCCGCTCACACAAAATATGTTTACTCAATTTTACAATTTCAAAATGTGCGTTTCGTTGACCTTGGGAAAAGGAAAATAATTCGCTGACCCAGCGACATGTGATGTGATGTCAAAAGGGGGCATGTACCCATTTGAGTTTCCATTTTTTGGACCACTTCGGAAAGCATTTAGCTTATTGCATGCGAGTGTTATCAAAGCAGGTTATGTGTTCTATTGCTGTTATATCTGCTGCGGCTGGTGAGGCGTCATAAGGGGGAGCTTTCTCGGACCTCCATTACAAAGAGAAGCCTAAGCACCTTTGCCAAGATGAATATGTTGGCCAACTCAAGAGGAGGCATAAAGAGCCTCCCGCAAGTTAGAGCCACAATCAGCCACTACAGACAGAAACTTTTAAAATTCCAGCAGCAGGCACAGTTCTCATTATTCAACACTGAACAGAAGAAGCTAGCCGAAAATGACGTCACGGGAAGTGGCAACACTGGCTTTATTCAGCTGTATCACGATTTGGTAAAAACGAACAAAATTGAACGGGACCCCTTTCAGTACAAATTGGTTCTGATTCTGCAGGTATGGCCAGAGATGGGAGGAAGCGGAGGATGGTAGCTACCCACATGACTGCGTGTGTAAGAAGTGTGGTAGTTGTTCTTATGTGCAGTTAGCATCACAGCACCCCCACACAATGCTTCTGCACTGTATTCCACACCGCATACCACACTGTATTCCGCACTGTATTCCACAGCGCATTCCGCACCACGCCATCGAAATGGTGAACTCACCCCGCCGTGTCCCCTTCTTAACGCAAACACGTGCAGGCCCTGGAGAACAACCTGAATGGCTTCTACGACCATGTTGAGAAGAAGCTCGCTATGGGAGAAGTTCCAAAGAAAAAATTCTTCAGCTCATTTTTTGGGATGAAGAAAAATGCACAGGGGAGGAGCAAAGAAGGGAGCAACAAACCCGAAGAGGAAGCAGAAACTGCACAAGCAGTGGAAAAGGAAGAAGCGGTGGAGAATTACCGAAACGACGACAATTTCTTCATCTATGAGGAGGAAACAAATAGCAAGAAGAAGCAAAAAGGACTACATTATAACTGCATAGAGAGTGAGGAGTATTACCTCCGAGGTAAAGACTCTTTAGCCCATGAGGAAAACATTAAGTACATCAGAGGACTGTATGTGTACGGGAGTGTAGGCAGAGGGAAGACCTATTTCTTGAACCTATTATTTGACAGAATCAAATTAGCAAAGCTAAAAATTCATTATCACAATTTCATGCAAGAAATACACAAAAGTTTTCACCAAGAAAAAATGAACAATTCAGAGGATGCGATTAGAAGTATCTCCATAAAAATGAGTAAAAAATATAAATTAATTTTTATCGACGAATTTCAAGTGGTACATATATCCGACGCAATGGTGATTAATTCTCTATTTAATCATTTGTTCTATCGAGGAACCGTTTTGTTGTGTTCTTCCAATAGGAATCCCAAGCATTTGTATCACAATGGTCTGAATAGGGAACGATTCCTCCCCTTCATAAAGCTACTCTACAAATTTAATTACATTTTCGAAATTGACAACTATCACGATTTTAGACTTCGAAATAACAACGTGGATAATCATATTTATACCATACCAACAAAAAATTTTGAAGAAATTAAAAAAATGTGCAATGATATGTACTGCCAAGTGAGCAAAAAGGATATGAATCATGTCAGACAGGTAGAAAAATATTATAAAGAAATCGCTGTCTCTGAGTTTAAAACCTGTGTCATTCCATACAGCTTAAATAAGTATGCCATTTTTTCCTTCCACGAAATATGCGGGCAGAATATCAGCATAGACGAATTCAATGCAATATCGAAAGCGAGTCACACTTTATTTATTTATGACATTGAAAAGATGAATGAAGAAAGTAAAGGAAACGAAATGAGAAGATTTATTTTGCTCATAGATATTCTCTACGAAAAAAACACAAAAGTATTCTTTTTTAGTGATGTGCCAATTTTTCAAATTTTCCAAACATCCTCCATTATCTCTCATTTCCACACCCTCATGGAACAGATGAAAAAAAAATATAACAGCTTTAACAGCTTCAAAAATGATGCCAGTTTGTATCTCAAGTCGGGAAGTTTCAACAGAGAATTATTTACAAAAATTGTCTCGCATTTTGACATGGACCAAGAGTCAGTTTTGTTTTTTTTCTGGCGTTTTACATTTTAATACGGTTCATTTGTATGTTGCGTGGACCAATGTATCACAATTATCCACTACACATGATCACCGATGTGCTTTCCTCCTCTTCTTCCCCCCTACAGAATTGGCATTAAACTGTTTGACGCCATAAATTTCAACATCAACAAGGAGTACATCCCCATGGAATATTTACGGTGCGCACTTTTGCGTTCCCATGGAGGGGGAGAAAACCGGAGCATTACCAACAGGAACAAAGCGCGCCCCCCAAATGTGCGCATCCATATGATAGATATCCCCGAAATAGTTCTATGCTTACTTAATTTGTGCGTCCTTCCTCCCCCCCTCCTTCCATGCAGACACGTCCTCGCCTTCCACATCACCAATTACGAGGTCGACGTGAAGAAGCACCTCAAATATTTGGAGGATAAGGATGTCCAACTGGAGCCAATCCCTTACTTGCTATTTGAGTAACCCAAATGAACTTCTCGGCGGGGAATCTTCCTCTTCGCAGAAGTATGAAAGCATGTCTCCACTGACCCGTTTCTACACTTCTGATAACCCGTATGTACATTATAACGGTGACGATTTCCCTTTGCAGCGAAAATGAGATTGACACCTGCCAGGAAAACGCGTTTGCCTCAATGAGGACTCTATCTCGGTATGTGCTCATAAATAAGTGCCCTCGGGTCAGCAACTGGCTAATTTTGTCGAGCTTTGAGCAATTCATAGGGGAGGAGCATTGTCTGGGTTGCCGAGGGAGTTCGCTATTTACACATTTCTGCCTTTTTGTATACCTCACATTTTTTTTTTTGTTTTTCCCTCCCGCAGGATGAAGCACATGGGCACGGTGTCCTACCTGGAGAAGCACAAGAAAATATACGACAGCAGTGCATGAAATAAAAAAACATACACGCAGAAGCGCACACTTTCGCAAGTGTTTTATCTACGTGTGTAGTGGGACCGCGGCACTTACACAATTGCCAATATGTGTTTTACATCAGCTTTGAAAGAAGCCAAAAGGAAATCCATTTGTTGTTTTTCGTTTTGTCTGCATAGCCTTTTAATTGGGAGGAAGTTTTTCCGTAAATTCTGCGTCAATTTTTTTGACAAAATTATGCCTTTTTTTTTTTTTTTTTCCCCCCGCGGCCCGTGCGCCTAGCATACCCGCTTTAATAACACATTTGCCATTTAAGAGGAAGCGGTTATTATCACCCCTATGAGTGCGTATTGGCAGCGCGACTTCACCCTCTAGGAAGTCCCTCCGTTTAGCAAAAACTTCCCAATGGTGAAAAGTTGAGAGCTATAACGTCAAGATGGTGTAGCGGCTACATTTTTTTTTTGTCTGCTTGGTTTTTTTCGCCTCTGCTTCGCGTTTTTCCTCCGTGTGTGCTCCTTTTTGGGCACCTTCTTCCCACACCCTGGAAGGCAAACTGAAGGGCAGATAAAAAGGGGCGTTAAAAAGGAAAAAGAAAAAAAACGCACAGTGCATGCTGAGAAGGGGTTTTCAGTGAGATGGTACACATTTTGTCAACCTTACCTTCTATGTGCCGTCTTGAATCAGGACTTTTGGGGCATTCACAAGGGGGGTTGTCATATCCCTATTGGTAGTGACTGCAGTGGAGAAACCAACACACACTGTTAGCGACTCCTTCCTTGTAGGCCAAAATGAGCACAGTAAAAGTATCATTCCAATGGGGACATCCGTTTTGAGCTGTTCTATCGTAAAAGTGCAGCATTCATCATGTGGTGAATCTTTTTTTTTTTTTAGTTTGTTTTATTTTTTATTTATCTTTTTTCATTTTTATTTTTTTTGCTTTCCACATGATCAGAGAAAACGCACGAAGGAGAATTCCAAAAGCTCCAAAAAAAAAGAAGGCAGGAGAGAGCAAAGCGGGTTAGGTAGAATCGGAAATAAAGAATTACATTATGTTGTTAAGCTAGACTCGGATGAAGGACATAACAACAAGAACAGCATAAATAAGGACAAGTACAAAGATGCAAAGAAGAGAAACAATAAAAGACGAAGCTTATCAGTATTGGTCCCAAATTACAAAAAAGACATAGTAAATAACATCAAACTGGCTGACAAACTGTACAAATTGACAGCAAATAAGAGCTCAGACGAATCGGAAGACGACAATCGCAGAAAGAGGAAAAACTCAAAAAGGGACAAAAAAAATGATTGGAATAAGGAAAAGAAGAGCAGACATAGGAGAAGCGTCACCTGTGGAAGTTACCACTCCGATAGTGAGCATAGCGTGGACAGTGCGAAGAATAACAAGAAGGTCGACATAAACATTAATGAAGTTCAGACCAAGTACAAAAATAAGAACATAAAAATTATTTACGACGATGGGTATTCGAAGAGAATCGTCGTCCGGGGGGACAAAAGGAAGGTAGGGAGGAGCGACGACGAGGAGGAGAAATATGAGGGAGAAAGCGACAGCGATGATGAAAGCCATGATCAAAGTGATGACCAAAGTGATTACCAAAGTGATGACCAAAGTGGTGACCAAAGTGATAACCAAAGTGATGAACAAAGTGATAATCGATGCGATGATGAAAGCGAACCAGATGGTGAACGTCAATGCGGGAGCCAAGGGGAGAACCACTCGAATGACTACTACCGACGAACGCGCAAAAAAAAAAGCAGTGGAAGAAGAAAGCGCAAAGAAGAAAGAAAACCCTCCAAGAGGAAGAAAAAAAAATGCGCCAAACGACACTCTACAACTCTTAGTGACAGTTACTGCGAGGAAAGGAGGAAAAAAAACATCCAAAAGGGGAGGAGGAAATTTTCGACTCTAAAGTTCGTAGGGGCGAGAAAGAGAAAGGAAAGCAGCGAACCGATAGACAGAAATTACAGATCAGATAAAAACTATTACCAAAGGGCAGAGAAGGACTATTACCCTAACATGTATGAGAGAGAAAATAGTGAAAATAGAAATAAAGACAAAGACAAAAGCAAAAATGAAAACGGAAACCAGAACCAAAACCAAAGCAGAAACACATTTCAAGATGTAGAAGTCTTTAATCCATACAGTGAAAGAGGCAGAAAAACGATGACGTACCAAGCTTTAAGCACAAGGAGTGACCAAGTCAAAAACAACTTTTTCCTCACCATTAAGGACATAATTTTTAAATTGCATTTGAACCTACAGAACATGAAGGAAATACTGAAAAACAAAAATGATTACATAACGAGCTTGCTCGACTCATCCTACAGAAATATCACTGAAAATGTGAAACGCAACGCAATAAAACAGGACAATTTTTACAGGATAATTTTTCACGACTTGTTTAATTTATTAAATGAATTTATCATGGTAGATGATTATACAAAGAAGTTTTTCTTCAGCATCGAGACGGAGGTTAGGCAGAGGTGCTTGGAAAATATTAAGAACGAGTTTTACAATTTTATCAATAGGTACTTGCCCTCGGGGGAGAGGAGAAGTGTGTACAGCCCCAGCAGGGGCACGAACGAGTTGAGTCCGCAGGACATGTACAAGCGCATCATGGACATGCACGAATCTGCCAACAAGCGGAAAAACCTCTACTCTGCTCTGGCCCCATACAACAATGGGGGGGGGCCAACCGAAAGTGGCAACCCTGGAAGCGGCTTCACGAGGAGTGGCTTACCCGGCGAATACCAGGCCCACCCCGACGTGCAGAGCAGCTTGCACCTGAATAGCCTACAACAGATGGAAGGTGGAATGAGCGAGCTAGCCAGAATTGACAGCCTGGCAAACAACCTCGCACTTAAAGTAAAAAACGCAAGCATGTTCCAAAACCTAGGCGATCAGGAAGATGCCGTGGACTATTTAAAAGGAGTTGTAAAAAGCGAAAAGGAAAAAAACATAAAATTGGAGTTGCAGTATGATGAATTGAAACAAAAATACGATCTCTTGAAGAAGAAAAGGGAAGAAGACGTCAGCAAGGAAGTCAATATGTCAAAAAGTACCCCAGATGAAGAAGATAATTTTTTTAAGAAATTCTATCATAGTCAGTCATCATTTATCAAATTGGAGGAAAAAAAACTGGAAGACTCATCCAAGAGGATCGTCGACGAAAGTTTGAGGCTGACCAGGATGAAGGAAATGAACGAGAGCAGAAAAAGGGAAATAGAGAAAGACATGCACGACATCGAGGTTAAGAGAAAAGAAATTGAAAAGGACAAGGACGATATAGAAATTAAAAAAAAGGAGATCGAACTTGCGAACGAGGAGATAAGCAAACAAAACAAACAATTGGAACACAAACAGGACATACTAAATCAGAGGAAAAAAGAACTCGAGAAGGAAAACTCCATACTAGATAACACCAAAAGGGAGGTGGATGAAGAGAATGATTTGATAATGGAGAAAAAGAGAGAGCTGGACGAGCTGAACAAGTTATTGCCCGAAAGGCAGAAGCGCGTGGAGGAGACAGATAACACTCTGCGTAAAAAGAAGAAGGAAGTTGACGACACAAATGTGCTGCTAAACGAGAAACAAACCACCATGCAGAGAATGTGCACCTTAATGGAAAGAGAACCTCTAAATCATATGAGGGAGGAAGGGGACGTTTTGGAGAAAAGAAATAATCAGTTGAACAGGGGAAGCACCCAAATGAAGGCTGACGAGACGGAGTATGGCATACAAAACGGTGATCCAAATCAGCAATATGACAGTGGGGACAACCCCCACAAAAGAGAAAACAAGGAAACCAACGCATTATATATGCAAAATGATAACCCTAGCTATACACCAAGTGCGGGTGCTATCACGGGTAAGCATGGCACTCTTACTTTAGAAAAAGCGTCAACACTAATTGTGGAAAAGGAAACAAGCCAAAACGATATGAACATCGAAGGGGACGCTAAACGAAGTAGCGTTCTGTCTTATTTAGGGAACACGAAATTTTCTCTGAAAAATGCTTCCAAGATGGACAGCAACATGTTGCCAATAAGTGGTACTCCCCAAAATGGTAAGCTTGTGCTAAATGATAAAAACGTCCTATTGATGAAGAATGGAATTGTGGAAAGGGAAGAGGCCCTTTTAGGTAGAGAGGAAAAGCTCAATGAGGAAAAAGAACAAATTGTTCAGCAGATGAACCAACTTAGCATCTTAAGGGATAAGATTGCGAGCGAAACGGAGGCACTGCATATACGGGAAGAGGAACTAAAAAGGAAAGAATTACATCTACTTAGCATGCAACAAGAAGGAGACGGTACACAGGGGGGAGAAGAACCAAATGTCCCTTCAAGGGGAACCAACTCCCTCTTTTGTAATGCAGAAGAAACGAACAGTTTGGGCGAAAATTCAAAGAAGCATTTCGAGCCAGAACATTACGCAAATGACTCTAATGAAGGAATCGCAAATCATCAAATGGGTCACATGGGAATAGATCAACCTGAAAGCGATGATCAGAGGACTACCCAATCGCATGACGAAGTTGAATTAAACGAATGGCTACAAAAAGGGGATAGCACACATTTGGAAGGTACCATTTCTTCAGAAGGGAATAATATCAACAACGGCACTTTCAACCCTTGTGGAACTTCTCCCCCAGCAGGTGACAACCTAGACGCAATAAAAAGCAACCTAAACAACTGTTTGGATGAAATAGCTAAGTACAAACTTTTGCTAAAAAGTAGAGACGCAGAAATTTGTTCATTAAAAACCCAACTGGGAAGGCAGCAAGGTGAAGCCAACTGGAACGGAGATGCTACACAAGAAGGAAACATCTCGGGGGATAATTCCAAAATGGGGGATTCTCTTTGCAATACGGGTAATGCGGGGGGAGGGATAAATGGCGCAACTGGTTTTTCTTCCCTTTCGGGTGATTCTGGTAACACGGCGAGGGGTCCTTTAAAGCAGCCAACCGGGTTTTCAGGCCCCCCCCCTGAGCACAGTAAGGTATGCAACGAAAGAGAGCGCAGAAAAGCGCACGAGGGCATAGCGGAGCAACCCAACGTAACAGAATCGCGTAGACGCACGAATCGGTAGAGAAGTACTCATGCACCCAGATGAAGTTGCTTAGATGTAGTTGCCTACCCTTATGTGGTAAAACAAAGGTCCCTCATAAAGATTGACGAAAGGGGGGTCAAATAAGTAGGCAATTGGGCACAGAAAGGCCGCGCTTATACTGCACAAAGTGCAGACTTCGCATCATTCGATGGTTGGAAGGACGAAGAATACATCGCACAGCATTACGTTTTGCATTTGAAAATAGAAGGGCAATCCCCAACAGATATATACCGACGTTTAAAGGAGACGATGGGGACGCTTGGCCATATGTGCATATATAAATGGCAAACGCCTGTGTGTGTGTGTACATAAGTGCGTACCCGAATGTACACATCCCCTCCTTTTCTTTGCAGCCAAACTCAGAGGGGACCCAATCAAACGCTCAGAAGACGATGAAAAGTGTCATTAGCAGCGAGCTAATCACGTTATACAAAGAAATAAGCAAAATAAGGGAGGAGTACAATAAAAGCATCCTTAAAAAAAATGAGTTCATAGGGGATCTCCTGCACAATTTGTAAGCAGATGCGTGCATGTACATGCCTTGTGGGGATGTGGAACTATGCACCTCTATTTCCTCACTTTTTTTGCATCTCACATAGTAAACATAATTGAGTCAGATGAGGCAGCTCTCATGGACCTGCTCATGTACGGTTGTCTAACGTGGGACTGACAGTGCATTTACGTGTTCACTCACAAACGCACAATCGAGGGGGAGCTGGGAACAAAATATGCGTCTTCTCTTCGTTCCCTTTTTTTTTATATAACCCCCGGAGTAAACGACGCGGCCCGGAATGACAAACGTCATTTAAAAAGATAAAAAGAAAAAAAAGAAAAAAAAACATTCCGTATGCTCCGCATGTGCAACCCGCTCAGTTCATAAAATGCACGAATTACTTTTGCCGTTGAACCCTTCCCTTCAGCTTTAACGAAATGAGAAACAACTACAAGTTGAAGGAGAATTTCTATCAGAAGGAATCCAGCAAATATCACGCCCTCATTAGCGACAAGGAATGCTACATAAACGAACTTAAGTAAAAACAGGGTTTCTCCTTTTCGCAGATTAGCCGCTCCTAAGGTGTTCACGCGTGCACAATATTGATATCCTCCTTTCTTTCCTTATTCATGTCTCTCTCTGGCTCTCCCTGTATCTCTCTCTCTTTTTTTTTCTTTTTTTTTTCCCGTAGAAACGCGTTGCAGGAAAAAAAGGCGAAGGAGGTGTCCTACAAAAAGATGGTACTCAAAATGAATCAAATAAACGATGCGTACAAGTTAAAGAATAAAAGAAGTTTGTCCACCGTGGAAATGTTGAAGCAAGACATAAAGCTCCTAAATCAAGACGTTTTAAAGAAAAAAGAAATGGTAAGTTTTGTCCAATGGGGCCTATTTGCGCAAAAAAGCCTTATGCATGTGCACGCTGCTATGTACACGCACATGCACGAGTAGAAAAAATGGCTTGATAAAATTAGGCACCGTATGGGGCACATCACCTTGTAGAATCGTCGCGTACGTGTGCGGAGTACATATGTGGAGTACCTCTGCGCAGTACATATGCGTGTGCGAACAGCACACTTTCGTGTTATTTTCCCCACGTGTGTACGCATGCAGTAAGCATGCATGTAGGCATGTTTCATGCGTGCGCACGGAAAAAGGCCCCCACACCGCGTATGCCACAGGCACTTTGCGTGCGCATATTTCCTCGCACTTTAGTATATATATGCATACGTATCTGCGTAATATATACGTACAATCATGCCGCTATCCAAACGTAATCGCGCGCAATTCACACGTGCCTATTCACATGTTCACCTTTTGAAGATTAAAAAATTCGAAGTAGCTCAGTAACGTAATGGTAGGGATAAATTAAAAAAAGAAAAAAATCGCGCTTTTTAAAAACATGCAGCGAGCGAAAATTATAATTGAGGAGCGTGAAAGTGCTGAAGTGAAAAAATTCCCCTCGCTTTTTTACAGTTTAATCTTACTTAATACTGCTTAATTCGATTCACTTGGATTAATTTGGTTCCATTTAATTTTATTCAATCCATTTCAGTTTGATCCATATCAGTATGATCCATTTCAGTTTAATCCATTTCAGCTTAATGCAAGCCCATTCGATGCAATTAATTTCCACTTCAATTCACTTCAATTCGTTTTAATTCGCTTCATTTGAAGAAATTAAACCAAATTGAAGAGCCATCGAACCGCCAGCAAGCCATGCTGAGAGATTGCCAACTTATAAGGCAAATCATTCGCTCGCCATTTTGAAGGGGAACGCGGCCTTAATTTTTGCCCCTAGCTGCATGACTTTTCCCACATACACACATACGAACATGCATACATGCCCTCACGTGTACAAAGTTTTAAATTAAAAAGCCTCGAATTTCCATCCCAACCCTTTTTTATGCCTCGCGCGATTGCCCTACCCCCCGAGTACACATTGCACATACCTACATACCAACCACGCCAATATATAGTGTCTCTTTTTTCCCCTTTTAAAAATGCAAAAGGAAGAAGCTTCCCCTTTTACCCCTTTTTAATAAATAAGAGAAAGATTTTTTTTTTTTTGCTGTAAACAATGAAACAAAATTAAGTCCTACATTTGTACTGCCCATTTTAGCATGTACAAATGAGGTAATACACACCAGGAGAAAATCCACCTCTCAAATGAACTTCCTTATTTTCCCAT